GCCTCAGCCAGGGTTTGGACTAGATGTGAGCTCTGGAGCTCCCTTCCAGCCCCACTGCTCTCTGACTTCATGATTTTTTATGAAACTCAAAGGGGAAAGGCATCCAGGCCTTATTGTTCCTTGAAGAGACAATATTAAGGGCATGCAAGCTGGCTACCTCAATGCAAAGGAATGAGAGCATGAGCAACAAGAGCCCACCCAGCCCAAACTGTGAGCTCTTCTGTGACTTGAAACTTAAAAAGGAGTCTGATGAAAAGTGGCCATGTTGCTGAGGAGGGTCTGCAGGGCGATAGCCGTGAAGGCCACAGCACAAAGTGAGATGCAGCCAGCAAGAGACATAAAAGCACCAATAAAGCACTGCAGACATTCAATGCAAGCATGGGGAAGATCAAGGGAAGGGCAGACCCCTTGCCGAAGGGGAGGGGAAGCTAATAATGGATGACAGAGAAGCAGCATTGAATGCCTTTTTTACTATAGTCTTCAAAAACAGGACTACAGGCAGAGCAGAAGCACAGTTAGCAGCAAGGAAAGGGCAAGCACTCAGTTTAGCAGAAGGAAGGAGCAAGTTAGAGATTACCTGGATAGGGGCAGCAGGGCCAGGTGATAATCATAGACTCAGAGATGGGGGCTGGAAGGGAGCTCAGGAGGTGACATGTAGTCCAACCCCTGCTTCAAGCAGGACCAGCCCCAACTACATCATCCCAGCCAGGGCTTTGTCTAGCCGGGTCTTAAACACCTCCAAGGATGGAGACTGCACCACCTCTCTGGGTAACCTCTTCCAGTGCTTTACTACCCTCCTAGTGAGAGTTTATCCTAATATCCAACCTCAACTTGCCTTGCTGCAGCTTGAGCCCATTGCTCCTTGTCCTGCCATCTGCCCCCACTGAGAACAGTCCAGCTCCATCCTCTTTGCAGCCCCCCTGCAGGGAGGTGAAGGCTGCTATTCAATCCCCCTCCGTCTTCTCTGCTCCAGACTAAATCAGCCCACTTCCCTCAGCCACCAGTCCTGTCCCCCAGCCCCTGAACCATTTTCGTTGCCCTCCACTGGACTCTCTCCAATGTGTCCACATCCTTTCTGCAAGGGGGGGCATGCAAAACTGGCTATTTTCATGCCAGAGTCCTGGAGGACTAGGTGGAGGTAACTGCAGAGTCATTCAAACAGTGAATCCTGCATTGTAATGCGTCAGGGATCCAGGTTGTAGCCGTATCGGCCTAGAGGAAGAAGGCAATCAGGACTCGTAGTAGAGATGATATCTTTCATTAGACCAACAAGATTTTTGCAATAAAATGTCTTTACTTGCAAGCTTTTGGGCACAAACACCCTTCATCAGGCATTGGAGAAAAGATTGTAAAAGTTCTGGGTAGAAATGAAAGTTTGTATTTCACAGAGGAGTCAATAGATGGAAAACCCTAGGCAGGCAGTCTCTTGGTTCATACCTTTGATTAGACCAACTAAGAAATTGCACAAAAATGATCTTTTCTGCAAGCTTTCAGGCACATGCACCCTTCCTCAGGCTCAGGGAAAATTAAAGATGGTCCAAAGTCTGCATTGCAATGCATTAACAGGACGGCTGTGTGAGTCAAGGGAAGCCATTCTTCCATCCTGTTCCCTCTGTCTGCAGCAAGGGAAACTGAGGTTGGAGGTGAGGAGGAGCTGTCTGACTCTGAGGGTTTCAGGCAACAGAGAAATTGTTGGATCTCCATCCTTGGAAACTTTCAGGAACACGTTCGACAGGGCACGTGGCTGGGCTGGCTCAGTCAGGGATGATCCTACCTTGAGCAGGGGCTGGATTCGATCCCTTCCAGCCGGACTTTCCTATGATCTTGCTAACCATGATAAGCAGCAGTCTAGGAAATGACTTAGGAGGAGAGATTGGAAGAGCTTGGGTTATTTAGCACGGAGAAGACTGAGCGGGGGAATGGCTTCGAGTCTCCCAGGACAAAGAGAGGCTAGCAATCACATTTTCTTGGTACCTACGGGGGAGCAGGACAAGACATCACGAGTGTACGTTGCCACAAAGGGGGATGTTCGTTAGGTGTTAGCACGGACTTTCTCGCTGCAGCGGTGCTTAGGGGCTGGAGTAGGTTCCCCAGAGAGGTCGCGCCATCTCCATCCGTGGAAGTGCTGGACACACACCTGCCTCTGGTTAAGCAGGGATGCTGCTGCTGGGACAATCATTTGGGTGAACTGAGCGCCTTGTGATCCCGAAGCGGGGCTCCAGGCAGGTGCAAGGCTCTGTCCACCTGCCTGGGTCTGGGGGTTTACTCAGCACAGAAAAAAGCCATCGATTAGGAAACATTGCTTCAGCGAGCAAACGACCGGTCCTGTTACACAACTCCCCTGGGCTCCCTGCCCTTGCCCAAGACATGCCAGCGCCTCTGGAAAGCAAATCTGCAACCAACTTTCCGTTGCGCCGCTGCCTTGCGGAGGGGTGAGATCTGATCTGAGCATCCCGTGTCTTCAGCTCCTAAAGTTACCAGCGCTGGATGCCAGCATTGGCATTTAGATACTCCAGGTTGCCCAGGCAGGTGCCCACCACCATGCCGCTGAGTCTAGAGGGGCAGTGGCCCGTGACCTGGATCCAGCCCGTGGAGAGTGGGGAGGACTGGCAGCTTGGGGGATTGGGGACTGCAGACAGGGGGTCCTCGGGGTCCTTCTGCCTGCTGTTCACCCTGGCACGTTCCTCCGCCTCTTGCCTCCATGCCCGTGCTGATGCTACAGCCCTACCTGCTCTCTGTGTTTGCCACTAAAAGTGTCCCGTTAGCATAGCCGTTGGCCGCAGGCGCCTGCGGGGCAGATGCAGGGGTGGGGTGCAGCCATGCACTCGCCCCCCCTTTGACTCCTGCTTCATCCAAACTTTCAAACCAATTGCCTGGGAGAAGCAGTGGCCTTTCTAATCACAGGCAGCTCTGAGGGCTTCAGTTGTTAACATCTCTGCTGACACCCCCTCTCCTTTTTAATAGTCTGAATTTTCCACTATTCAAATTCACTATTGCACTATCCTCTGCAATGCTGCTGTCTGCCAGCCATTTCTGTCCCTCCTATCCCACAGCCCTGCTTTGAGCTGCAGCTAAAACCCTTCGCTCAGGTGTGGTCCTGCTAACGGAGGTGTAGAAATGCCTGGCGCTGAAGTACTGGAGGCTCTGGCAAGACACCCAGGAAGGCCAGCTTTATATTTGACGACTCTAAATATGAGACGTACATTTAACAATAATGATGGCAGGAGTTACAAAACTATGATTTTTGACTATTTTGGGCTCAGTTTGGGTTTTTAAATCTAATATAGCATCTATATGATTTAATATAGTGTATCATGGATGAATGTATTGGCACTGGATATTCTGTATGCCTCAAAGAGAAGAGATCTGCGGAAGACCACGGTTGCCAGCGTCCTGTTTGGATATGTATGGGACCTAGGGA